TTGTTTCGTAAGCAGTGCATATCTTCTTTTATTGGTATAAGTCTTAAGGCCCACCCCCCACCCAAAAAAAGTTGATTTCTGTCAAATTTATCGATTTTTTTTAATAGCGCATGTGATAGAGCATCACGTCCGCTATCGAATGCACTATAGTTTATTTTGTTTACGACGGTTTTTCATGGTTTTACAGAGGTTTTTCTTAAAACCTTTACCCATGAAAAAAGACGTCTTTCGAATAATTCAATTGTTTTTGCGCATTTCAACTTGTAACGGTAAAATATATTTCTTTCTATTGTACAGAATGTTGTCTTGACTTTGATCGTATCACGTAGCGAGATATATATTTGTTTTTCTTTTACGTTCGTTCTCTATACTTTCATCGTGTTTGCTTTGATCCAAAAACAGAATTCGAAGTATACGAAAGAAAAAAGTAATACGAATCTTTTAAACAAATGAGCAGCAAAGATATTCGTCAGAAAAAGAAAAGCAGAAGGTCTATTATGAGGCAAATCCGATCACAGCAAGTGAAAAGCAAGAGAATGGATTCATCATCATCACCATCGGTAAATATAGATGAGGCGGATGACTTATTGGATATCAATTTAATTATTCACATGAAATCGTTGATTTCATTGATGAAACAAACTTTATGTTCCGAATGTAATTGTTTATGGGATGGTTCACCATCTATCAAAACAAGAAATGGATTATACATGCATGTAGAATTTGTATGTTCTAATTGTGGATGTATTACTCATTTATATTCATCACCACAAGTCCGAGATGGTAGACGTCGAGAAATCAATGCTCGATTAGAACTTGGTGCTACACTATGTGGCTTAGGTTACCATGGGATAATAAAATTATTAGGTGCATTGAATCTACCACCACCAACACAACAACAGAAATATAGTGAAACACAAGAAGTTATTTTAAATTATGTTGAAAAATGTCAAGAACAATCAATGATCGCTGCTGTTGAAGAAGCAATTGCTGAAACTGGTGGTGCACGAGAGCTAACAGTTAGTGGAGATGGTGCGTGGCTTACACGTGGTCATACAAGTGTTCATGGTGTTTCAGCTTTGTGTTCTACAACAAAACGTCCAAAATTTTTAGATACTACATGGTCATCTAAAAAATGTATTAAATGCCAGGGTGCGGAGGGTCTGCGCCATGTCAATCCTGCTTTATTCAAAACGTTTCAAGAAAACCTCAAATGCCAATTGAATTATGAAGGCAAGTTTTTATAAACTATAAACCGCTTCACAATAAAAATTCTTTCTTATTCAGGTTCATCGGGTGGAATGGAAAAGGAAATGATTCATGAAATGTTCTGTCGTTCATTAGCAAAATATAATACAAGATATGTTTCGTATGTTGGTGATGGAGATGCAAAAGTACACAAATATTTGGTCGACAATCCTCCATATCCTGATATTGATATAAAAAAACTGGAAGATACAAATCATTTTGCAAAAAGAATGTTAAATCGCATAATGAAAATCAAACGAGAAAATAAGAATAAGATTTTATCTGATGGCAAGAGATTTAGTGGCAAAGGTCGTATGACTGATGGTCATGTTATTAAATTCAAGATATATTTTGCTAAAGCAATACGTGAAAATAAGACTGATCTAAATAAATTATATCAAAGTTCATGGGCCATATTCAATCATCATTATTCAACAAATGAAGAACCAATGCATGACTGGTGCGATCCCAAATGGTGCAAGTACCTCCAAGCAGAGTCACTTGGTCAAAGCTTTTCTTGCTCCAAAATATCTATTCCACGAGCCTGTTTAGATATGATAAAACCGGTGTTTGAAGAGTTATGTTCTCATACTAGTTTAGCACGTGTTGTAGATGGTGGAACTCAAAACGCTAACGAGGCCTACCACTCATTATTGTGGACTATGATCCCAAAACATCGTTATTGTTCATCAAAAATTCTTCGTACTGGATTGGGATTATCTACAATTATTTTTAATGAAGGGTATGAAGCATTGAATAAAATTTTTACAAGCATATTCTTATCTATGGGCTATTACTCCACTCAATGCCTTCGAAAACTTGATGTTTTAAGAAGCTCTCGTACTTCAAAAACTAAGAACAAGCATTTAAAACGTGCAAAAACAACAACAACAGTTGCTGCAAGTACTGCTTCAACTGAAAGTGATGAATTTCCATATACTCCGAATGAAGAAAACTATGATTCCATTGTAAATGATATTACATTAGAACTCAATGATATTGCATTAGAACTGTCAGATGATGACATTACTGATGTATATGAAGCAGGTGGTGATGATTGATTACCGAAAAATAATCAACATTATCTCAGATTTTAAAAATACTACTTATTTTATTATCATATCATTCATTATCACATGTTATTTCCTAAAAGCTGGTTTTTAAGATCATTTCGATGAACTTTCTAATAAATTTTTGTCGTAATATCTTCACCCATAATGAGTTCAAAGTGTCTTTTATTATTTAAGATGATCGAAAAACACTATAACTGGATGAAAAGTCATGAAATACACTTCTAAAAAGTATTTTGCGTTTTTCTCGAAATGAGATTTTTTGATTTTACGTTTTCGTGCGTCCCAGATTTCTCCGCCATTTTGAAAGCTAGAAAGTTCTGGTTTGTTTTAAAATGTAGTCAACACTTGGGGCTATAACTTAACAGAGCCCGATTTTTCGATTTCATGATAGATGTCAGATGAGGGGGAAATGTTTGAGAATTTACACCCTACTGATTTCATATCATGACGTAGAAGTTCTCTAAAAACTAAGCTAAAGAAAAATTAAAAAATCGGACTCTGTTAAGTTGTAGTCCCAGATATTGGCTACATTTTAAAACAAACCCGAGCTTTCTAGCTTTCAAAATGGCGGAGAAGTCTGGGACGCACGAAGACCTATGTTTTGGACCTTAATATTAAGCTATCTCCTGGAATCCTTAAGATTTCAGGCTGAAATTTTTATCACAAGGTGCCCAGCCCAAGATACATCTACTCTGAAAATTTTGTTACGATTCGATGTTCTATGGCAAAAATAAAATTTTGGGTGGGGGGGGGGGGGGGGGCCTTAAATCTGTCCAACAACGATTTTGATAAACAAATTGACATTATGTGAATATAATTTCAAAAAGTAATTCGAATCCAACATCTATCTCAAGAGTAAT